TGTGTGTGTGTGTGTGTGTGTGTTTGTGTGCGTGTGTGTGTGTGTGTGTGTGTGTGTGTGTGTGTGTGGTGTTGTCGGCGGCGGTGTCCCGGTAGATGGAGATCGAGACGAAGAGGAGGAAATATTCCACCAGCAGCAACGACTCGGACACCACCGACAGTAAGTTTCTTTTTCTCCGCATCTAAAACAGACTTTGCATTTCACTTTCTGTCTGAACACACAAGCATGATTGCATTCTTTGCACATTAAAAAAAAAAAAGAAAAACATCTTTTAATTGTTTGTATTTTTAGTTGCTTGTATTTTTATTCTCCCGCCATTTGAGCCGTTTTAGAATAGATATTTTTTATTTTGGAGAAGGTAATTTTTCAAACGTTTTTTGTTTAGTCTTAATGTATGCATTGCATTTTTATTTTAGTTTTTTTTTTTTACTTTAAAATAATATAATTAAATATCATTGATTATCCTAAGCACAAAACCATTGAACTTTTTTTTAATTACTTTTATTTAGTTAGTCACAATATTGTTTATTTTAAAAAAATCTTCAATTGTTGTGCTTCTTCAGACAAAATTGAATTTAGGTGTTTTTAATTTAATTTTCTATTAATTGTAAAAACACACACACACACACACACACACTACAGAACTTTAAAGGTAAACATTGACAGCATTGCCGAGTGGAGCTGGATTGTGCGACTCTGAAAGGAGGTGACAGTAACTTTAATGGAGGCGGAGTGTGTGTGGGTGATCATTGGCACCTAGTGTGTGTGTGTGTGTGTGTGTGTGTGTGTGTGTGCGTGTGTGTGTGCGTGTGCGTGCGTGTGTGTGTGTGTTGCCTCCCACTCAACATATTTTCCTCCACTTCTGCAAACACCCTATTTGACTTGTCTGAACAAACTCATACACGCGCGCACACACACACAAGCGAAGCAATTAGGTGCCAATTGTCGAGTCGCTTTTTGCGAACAAACATCGTTGATTTGGATCTCATGTAGGTGGCGAGGTGTGTTTTGAGTTTGTGTGTTCGCACAGTTTTGACAGCCACTAGCGGTGCGCAAAAAGGTCGGATGCTATGTTAGCTTTACATGCTAGCTGCCCAGCGGTTGGCCGGCACACGCTCAGTTGGCCACCAGCTTTTTGCAAACAAAGGGACTTTGATTTAGATATTTGGAAACCATTTGAGAGTTGATAGGGATTTTATTTTGTGAACTTTCTACTTCCTGTTTTTTTTTTCTTTCTTCAATGCTGTTGGCTTGAAAGGATGCGCACCGGGTAGCTTTTTGTCAACAAACGGACTTTGGTTATGACATTCTGTGACAGGCACAGCGCTCGCATATACTTTTTTATTTTGGTAACCATGCTACTTCCTGCTTTGACTCCGTTGTCGCTGGCTAGATGTGATGCTGAGCGAGATTTTTCTGATATGACGGCTTCAATGCTGTTTATGGGTTTCATTTTGCTAAGTTAACACTTTGTGTTCTTACTCCGCCGTTGACTCGATCGGACTCTCAGCCAGTTGCTCTTTGTAAACAAAGGCACTTTGATTTGGATCTCCTCTGACTGTCTTAGCACCGTTTTAGCTCGTATTTTGGTAGGTCAGCTTTAGATTAGATTTAGAGCACGCTTTGCTAGTTGCTTTTTGTGAACAAACAACTTATTTTGCGAGTCTGTGACTCAATAAACACTGTTCCAGATTTCATTTTGGTAGGTTGCGGCTTCTTATTTTTGCCTCATTGGTTAGGGCTCTTAGGAAGTTGCTTTTTGTTTTTGTTTTGTTTTTTGTGGACAAATGTAAAACACTTTCCTGTGACTGCTGTAAGGCGTTTGAGCTCGTCTGTTTGTGAATGAGCACAGCGTGCTAAATTAGCTTCCCGTTCTATCTGCTGGCTGGCTGCCACGTTTGTCGCTCGTGAACAAAAAGTAGGGTGTGTATTGTGGTTTTATTGGTCCTTATTCTCGGCATTAGCTCAGATATGTGTTGATGTTTTTTTTTTTTTTTTTTTTCTTTTGATTGTTGCAGGTCAGGTGACGTCATGGTCCAGGTCATCCAAGAACGCGGCAACCAGCATCACGTGGGTGCGACATCAGCACAAGAAGCATTCGGAGGTGAGGGACAACCTGAACGTCAATCATCCCACATTCCCGGCTAATTGGTCTTTTTCAAGGCGTTCAAGCTGTAGTGAAGACTTCCAATTAGGATGTCAAGCTTGGGGAGGATTAAGGTTTCAAATGATTGTTTTAAGCGTGCGTTAGGGTTTCAAATTCCAGTTCTAAGCCTTGGTTAGGGTTCCAAACGAGGATTCGCAGTTGAAGTCAGGGATGGATTTCCCCCGATCAAATTAGCATTTTTGAATTGGGATGAGGGTTTCAAGACTGGATTTTATGTTCGGGTTATTTGCCAGGGTTAAGGTTTCCAATGAGGTTTTCAAAGAGGGGTTAAAGTCTACGATTAGGGTTTCAAGCCTGGGTTAGTGTTTGAAATCAGGGTTTTAAGCACACTCGCGTTTAACTGGCCCAACCTGCCGTGTCCAAAGTCAATACATTGGTCTCCCGACACCGCTCTGACGGCCGGCACGACGCGGTCGGACAAAGTGGCAGGTTGCCCGAGCGGTCGCCGTGAGCGGTCGCCTCGAGCAGTCCCGTAGGACTCTAAAATGACTAACCGTGGCGCAAGAAGCGGAAAAAATGGTTGCCGCGAAGGACGCTCTGTGGCTTGCAAATTCCTCCCGGTTGAAGGAGAACAATTGACCAAAATAACTTTGGACTGAAAGCAATTAGCGGTTGCTAAGCTAAGTGCTGAACATGTTGACTGTGGCATCATTGTTTTGATCTCGCCCTTGGAAATAATGTCTTCATATTTTGAAAATTATGTTTTGGGAAGAGTTTCAAATAGGTTTAGACCAGGGGTGTCAAACATACGGCCCGCGGGCCGGATGCGGCCCGCAAAGGAGTTTAATCCGGCCCGCGAGATGATTATGTAAAGCAGGGGTGTCAAACATACGGCCCGCGGGCCGGAACCGGCCCGCAAGTAGGTTCAATCAGGCCCGCAGGATAATGTAAAAGTGAAAAAAATGCATTAAAGACACAGAATTAATATTTTTAATCAGGTGCAATTCATTGAGTATCCGCAAGGGGACACTGTTTTGATCAGAGAAGAAGACAACAGCAGCCTCAGTCTGTCACTGAGACAGACCCATGACAGCAGACGCTATCAATAGCACTCTCACATTTACACATTTAATAGCACTCTCCTTAGTTTGTAAGGTGTAGGCAGGGATTACATTTAGATTTCATATGCACGTGTAAATGCTTTAAAACTTGCTTTCTTTATGAATCTTGTTTAATCTTAAAGTGCATTACTATATTTTTCAATACCAATTACTTGTTAAAGTTTGTACAATCAGTGGGATCAGTTGCAATGCATATATGTGAATGATAAAAGTAAATTGCACATTTGTCGAAGGAAATGTAGGGTGCTTCATGAAATGTTTTGTAAAAGATATGTTCATTAAATTTCAACATTTTCCTAATGTTCTTGTGCTTCTTTATACCAAAACAAAGGAAAGACATATTGTTTTGGTTATTTATAGCAAAGTATTGTATCATTTTAATGGTCCGGCCCACTTGACATCTACCGAGGCCGTATGTGGCCCACCATGTGAAATGAGTTTGACACCCCTGGTTTAGACTGTCAAAGTATGTATTTATTTTTTTTTAATTTAGGATTACAAACAAGAATTAGAATTTCACAGTAGGGTGTTAGGACGGTGCTCGGGTGTCAAATGAGAATTGAGGTTTCAGATTAAGTTTCAGATTATTTTTTCAATGCATCAATAGTGAGAAGTCGCGTTGTCCTTCGCTCTTCCTGTGTCCACGACCTGTCGTTCGGCGCACGCCGTACAAACGTGCAAGTTAAATCGAGAGCCGTGTGTCTATTTCTTGCTCATCCTCCACTGGAGCTTTTTCCTCCAAGGCTGACCGCCTTGCTGCTTTGATTAAGACCGTTCCGGATGCTTACAGGCAGTCGCAGTTCACTTCTTGCGGCCGACGCTTTACTGGCAGCGTTTAAAAAAATCAAAAAAAAGGGAGCATGTTTGCATCCTGAGACTCCATAACAACTTCCTGTGTGTGTGTGTGTGTGTGTGTGTGTGTGTGTGTGTGTGTGTGTGCGCGCGCGCGCGCGTGTGTGTGTAATTCAAGCTGGTCTTGGGGGAAATGTCCTTTTGCTTATTACCCGACGGGAAGCGTTGACACTTGTCAGAACATGGCAACAACATCGCCCCTGGACACACACACACACACACACACACACACACACTCACACACAAGTATTTGACCCTGGTGGGTTATTACTCTGCACAAGAAGTGTATGCAAGTGTACTCAAAGCCCTACTTTCAAGTTAGGGTCCCAGGCCACGGTTAGGGTTTCAAACAAGACTTTCATATGAGGGTTTTAAGTCTGGGTTCGGGTTTCAAACAAGGGTTGGGGTTTCAAGACAGAATTAAGATTTCAAACCAGACTTGGGGTTTCAAATAAGGGTTTTTCGGGGAGGTAATAATCAGTGAAGCGGTAATCATCAGCTGGAAACCAGACCTCAGGCCTCTTTGAAGAAGTTCATGAAGATTATTTCTATTTTTAGGGGAACAATTTTTGACCAGCGTTCTGAAGTAGATTGTCTCCTAAAAAAAAAAATCTAAGGACTTGATGTTACATGTCATGTATTATAATTGCGTGACATATCGGCCAGTTTTGGTGATGTCTTGAAAATATTATACGAGCATTCTTTGAACCCCCCCCCCCCCCCCCCATGAATCATGTATCTGTCGATTTTTGTTTTTAAAGCACCAGTTTCCATAAGTGGGTCACATCTTCTTCCTCGCAGACATTTGTTTGCACGTTTGTCGATTTACACCACGCTCCAAAGAAGTGAGGGGAGAAAAAGAAGGCGGGGGCTGGAATGGGGGGGGTCTCTAAAGTCTCCTTCATTATCTGGCTTTTCAGTGACCCACTTTTTTTCTTTGTAGGTTTTCAGAGCGTGTTTGCTGCCTCACACTCACTCTTACGTTCCACTCGTACTCTACTCTGCTTCATATTCATGCCGTCACGCAGCCTTCACACACCGAGCAGCCGAGCGTTCCCGAAATAGGGTTTCCAGCCGGTGATGCGGTTTCAAGGCAGATTTACGGTTTTCAATTTAAGTCTCAAGTTAGCGTGTCAATTTTGGATTCCGCATTCAATTTAGTGTTTTCAATTAGGATTGGACGCATGGATTAGGGTTTCAAACAAGGGTTAGGGTTTTAAAATAGAATTTCAAGATAGGATTAGGTTTTCCAAGTCGGTGTACAAGACACGATTTTTGTTGCATGTTTGGGTTTCAAATTTGTTGCATTAAGAATTTGAAATTAGCCTTTCAAGCCTGGGTTACGGTTTGGAGAAATGTTTCGTGCCTGTGTTAGAGATTCAAAGTTGGGTTTCAAATGAGAGCTTCAAGCATGGGTTTGGGTTTCAAACAAGGATTGGGGTTTTGAATTTGGAATTGTCTTTGAAATGTAGCTTTTGTTTTTTTTTTGTTTTTTTTTTTAAAGCTAATATGCACCCCAATGAATACCACATCACAGGTGCAACATCCATTTGCGAGCCCAATCCCAATTTCCCTTTTGAGCTTGTGGCACATCTGCAGATTTTTTTATTTATATATTTTTTTCTCGTCCTTTTTAGCATTTGGTTTGAATGCGCAAACGAGCTAGCGCCAGTGGCAGGATGTGACATTTGCCGTCCCGAGGAGGAAATCCCATTCACGTTTCTATGCTGGCGTTTTATGTCCATTGAGGGCTTTTTACAGTCTCGTGATTTTGTCTGGCAGCGGGGGAAAGAACTCAAAGGACCAGCCACCATCTTGAGTGCGACTCCTTTCATTCATGCTAAAAGGAGCCAAGAAAAAAAAAACGGTTTTGTTTTGACAAGCTCTTCTGGGATGGTTATTTTTTATTTATTAGTTTGAAAAAATAATTGTGACACCCGAGAGTCCCAGGAGTGTTTGATAGTCTTGTTCTTCCGCACCAAATTCAAGTAGGATTTCACTTTAGTGTGTCAAGCCTGGGTTTGGGTTTCAATGTAGGATATTAAGATTTCAAGAGGTGCGTTATTCAAATTAGGGATTTGAATTTGGGTTACAGATTCAAAGTAGGTAGTGGTTGTTGAAAATGCGGTTTTCAAGACATTCTTAGGGTTTCAAAGAATGAGGAGGATTTGAAGGGAGGGTTAGGGTTCCAAATTAAATGTTAAAAAGCCGCACGGCACCACGCTGCGCTTTTGAATAATGGCGATTAATATTATCTTTTTCATTTTACACACACACACACACACACACACACACACACACACACACACACACACACACACACGCGCGCGCGCGCCTCCCGTGGCCCTTCCAAACTCCTCGCACTAAAATTAGCCTCCTCCATCTGAGTGGCGACATCTGCTGTGACGTTGTGTTGGGTCACCATGACGATGATGCTTCCACATCCTTCCCAATAATGCCTTAAGAAGCAGCCAGGCGCCTTCATCCCAGTGAAAATTGATTCCGCTCCCATCAACCTTGGACACTCGCCAAACGGGTGATGCCAATTTGACTAAAAGTCTTTTTCGTTCTTGCTTGTGGGTGGAACAGAATGGTGAAATTTGGCGATCAAACAGGAAACTAATAATTTGCTAACACGAGGTGGCTGATGACCAAATGTCTGAATAAAAAGCCATTTGTCGACGCCCCCTACCGGCTTAGATGTACGGCAACCACAGCAGCACTCCCGAAATGTCGCAGACGGACATTAAAATTAATTACCTAAAGTGCCGTCTGTCAAAGTTGTTGTTTTTCCAGTTTCAAAGCGATGTGACTGTGTGCATGTGTGTGTGAGACGTCAGCTGGCCTTTAAAAGCACTTAGAGCACTTTGTCACTGTCCTCTGTGGGAAAATGACTCAGCAGTGTAAACGCAGCGCGAGTGGCGCTCGTGCGCGCACACGCATAGCATGGCGCGTGCGCGTGCAGGCGTCGATTGTCCACAGCATGTGTCTGCGTGGGTGCGTGGCCTGGTGTCAGTATCATGTGCATTCACATGGATGTGAGAGTGGACTTCCTGCTTTTAAATGTCACCCTTCATCTCATCCCACGCACGTACGGGCACACGCGCGCAGACGTACGCGCACGCAGAGCAAAAAATGCAGAAGTTGTTTGTGTGATATTGGTCTCGTTGCCGTATTAGTTTCATTGGTGGCTTCGCGTGTTTGTGGTCGGATGAGCAATGACATACTTGTCAGACTTGTATTGCTTCGAGCAATGTTTCTTAACCTTTATTCAGCCAAGGCACCAATCTCACGGCGCGTCGCCAAGCAAAAAACAAAAAGGTCACTAAAGTAAATAAACTGAAGTCATGATGTTTACTCACAAATGGAATCAGTCAGTGTGAAATCTGGGCCTGTTTAGTTGAGCACAAAGCTATTATTATGCCCACTATGGATTTTTGGTCGAGTAAAATTCTGAGAACCTATTAATTAAAAAAGATTTAATGAATAAAACAATAAAGATATGAATAACATCCATTTGAATGATATATTCTTTGTCCTTTGGTATTTGTTTAAGTTTGCCACATTGAGAAAAATTTGCAAAAAGTGAATTATTATTTATTTATTTGTTTTTTGGGGTGGGCCGGAATGTTTGAATATCGCTTTTTTAATCTGGTGTTATGAGGTATATTTTTTAAATAAATAAAAATGCACACCACCGCAAAAAAAATCTGTGGATTTAAAAGACCTAATATCATCTCATCAAATCCTCCGGCCGAATAATCCGTCAGGCCTTAGTTGTAAGAATAACAGCAGGTGGGTGCACAGATTAATGGAACAACATTAAGTTGTTGTGCTTGTCAGTATCAGTCGCCTGAATAGAAAGTTGCATTTAAAAGCTGTCTGACTTAATTTTAAAAAAAAAATGCCATTTTACATGATATGCCCCGGGGTTTGTTTTGTTTTTTGTTGTTGAGTTTCGCTCAAGAGTGGTTGGAAAAACATAATTCTCCGTGTGCTTGTTTCAGGTGTTTCGCACAGATTTTATCACGGCCATGAAGCTTCCCGACTCTGCGCAGCTGGGCCCCGACGACTTTTACGTGCTGTCGGACCCTTGGAGGCAAGAGTGGGAGAAAGGAGTGCAGGTGCCCGCCAACCTGGAGGCCATCCCGCAGCCTGTGGTCAGGTCAGACTAATGCAACACGGTACATGAACGGGCTAGCTAGTCAATTTTCCGAAGTCGGACAAAATTTGCGGGAGTTCATCTTCGAAAGGACCACTGAAACTTTGTGTTGATGAATGAAAATGTTCTAAAAATGTTATATGTTTGATGAGGAGTCATCAAATTTAGCTAAAATGGCCGCTGTGAACCAAAATGGCTGACTTTATGTGTGTTTTCAAGCATGGCTTCTTGAGACATGATAGGCAAGTCAACTAAATTTCTTGTTGACTGAAACTGGGTTCAGCGCCCCTTCCCCCCATTCGCTGAAAAGGTTTTTGTTTGTTTGCTCATGGTAGACATGCCTAGTAAATTTCATCTTGCTAATGGAGCTAGCTTCAAGGGCTGAATTTTCAAAAATGTTTTGAGAGTTATCCAACATTATTTTGAACCAAAATGGCTGACTTGGTGTGTCTTTTTCGAGTCTGTATTTTTATTTTTTGGTTTGTGCAGTTGATCCCCGAGCAGACAAAGCAGTCAATAGACGATGAGATGTCATCGCGCTTGATTGTTTGTGGGGCGAACACGGGAAGAGATAAATGTGTCTTGCTGAGTGTTTACACTGGCTAATGGGCTCATATCTCACTCGCATTCGTGCGCGTGCACACAGACACACACACACGCTTGCAGATGGATGTGCGCCCGTAGGCAGCAACGTAGAAGCAGATTGTCAAGGAAAAAGACACATGGTCCACATAGGCGCGCGCGAATGGAGGCGAACCTTTTGATGATCAGCGTCGAAACGAGAACAGCCTGAAAACACAAACGGCTCGTTTTTCGTCTCTCATTCAGCGTTTTGCCACTCTCGCGTCACTCCTCCGCACCCTTCCTTTTCCTCTTGGAAGTCAACTGTGCTCATGTTGTGAGCATGCCAGAGCAGCAGGTGGCTCTGTAACTGTTAAAGTGGGAGTCCCTTTGTCGCCAGTCACTTTATTCTATTTACCGTAAATTACAACTTTTTTTTTCTTACAATTTTACAAACGTCTCCACACAGTATTTGAACTAAATTCTTGTGTAACTTTTTTTCCCAAAAATTTCCTCTCAAAATATGCACATTTTATATTTGAAGAATTATAGAATTTTATGCATTATTATTATAACTTTATTCTTGCAAAATCACCAAATTTTTCCCCCCTCACGGTGTAACAAATATCTTAGATTACCATTTCCCCTCTTGAGAAAAAATGTAGTCTCCTTTAATCCTTATAAATGGTCTTTTTTCCCCTCTTAAAATTAAAAATGCATCTTCATAAATTAAAAAAAATGTGTTCTCCTCATATGACGACAAATTTACTCTGACCTGATTTTTCTTTTAAAATTATGACTTTATTTCCTCATAATTTTACAAATACCTTCTTACTTTATCATTGTTAAAATGTTTACTCCCCCCACCCCTATATTATTATGGATTTATTGGCACAATATTCATCTTGCCTGCAACCGGGAATGAAAAGTGAAGGCTGAGAGAGAAAAAGTGTAAGAGGAAGACGAGTGTTTTGTCAAAGCCAGACGCGCCCGCAGCTCTTTCCTTTTTTCTATTTCTTTTTTCTCCTCCTCCACTCCAACAATTTTTAGTGATGATGTCATTATTCATCACGAAAAAAAAAATAGGAGGAAAATATGTCTGCGCCTGAGGCTCGACTGCAGTGTGAGCAATGGAGGGAGAAAACAGAGAAGCTTTAACCTGGAGTTGAGCTTCCATTTGTTTTGCTTTTAGCTCTTTAACATTTTACGATAGTTGTTGTAGTATGCTTTGTGTATATATATCAGAATAAAAAGGTTCAGATTCGACATTTTTATATCCGTTTTTAGACACTTGTTCATGATTAAAATTTTTTTTTTTTTTTTTTAGATGGATTGATTAGGGTTTTTTTTTTATTTCATTTGTAATGGTAAAAATGTTATGTTGTTTCAAAGGTTATAACAGCCACAAAATCAATGCTGGCTTCAATATTCCGTACATTTCATATGATGTGTTAGCATTAAGCCGTTGAACGTTAGGGTGCCAACGTTATACAGTTTGTCTAAATATGCAACTTTGTTTGATGTTTAGTTTGATGGGAAACATCAAGTAGTAATGGCAATAAAACAGCTCAGAGGAGTCTCTTTTTTGGGGGGGGGAAACTTGTTCGTTAGCTGCCAAACTGCCACTTGTTGTGAAGTTCGCTGCCAATTTGTTACAATTGAAGTTCATGAGGTTTTAAAACTCATTTCAGCGCCACATTTTTGAGTCTTTATGACCAGCCCCAGATGTATTTATGTCATCCATCGTGTGTTTTATTTCTTTTCACTTTGGATCCACCCTCCTTTGAATGTCAATGAAAAGAAGACAGAAGTGATGATGTTTGATCCCCCCCCCCCCCCCCCTTGGCTCCTTATATTAAGCCAACAGTCTCGAACTTGGGTCTTAAACCGGACAGCGATTTGAAATTCCACCGGCAAATTGGTGCCGCTGTTCAATCCAACTTCTTTCATCTTCGGCTAAAGTCCAGCCTCTCCTTTCTCAAGAGCACTTGGAAACAGTAATTGATGCCGACGTCACATCCCTGGCACTTTACTTTGGAGTCAGCCACTCCTCCATGAAGCGTCTCCAGTTTGGTCCAGAATGCTGCCGCTCGCCTCTTGACTGGTGCTCATAAGAAGGAGCACATAACTCTTGCATTCCCTCACTGGGTCCCCATACATTTTAGAGTTCTATTTAAGATCATATTTATTTTAAAATCTTTAAATCACCTGGCCCCTCACCTTACCTGACCTCCTCCCCGCCCCTACGCACCTGCCTCAGGTCTGCGGACCAGACACTATTAGAGGTAACGAGAACTAATCGGAGGCTCAGAGGGGATCGAACCTTTTTTCCGTTGACGCTCCCTCTCTTTGGAATAAACGTTCGGCAAACTCCCACGCTGCCCGTCTTTAAAACTCGTCTTGAAACTCATTTTTATACGTTGGCTTTTGACTGGGCATGAGACTTGATTTTTTTTTTTTTGTGTTGTGTGAATGATTCTTGCTCCCTGTACAGCACTTTGTCGACAGCGGCGGTTTGTTTTAAAGTGCTGGAGAAATACCGTTGAGTCGAGTTATCCTTCAACCTTGCATTAGCCCCCCTCTTCTGTTGAACGATTTCTTCAATCACGGCGTCGCGTGAGAGTGGCGCGCTCGTAAAGTCGTCCGAGTCCAGCGAAAGGTCCGAAGGGAACAGAAATGCGTGCGCCCGAGTCAAAACGAAAGAGTAGAAATGAGTGACGGTGCCCTCGGTAACAGACGCGGCTGCTGTGTTTTTCCAGCGTCATTTGTGCTACAAAAGCAGCGTGTGGAAATCCCCCAAAGATGAAACGTGTTTTTTTTTTGTTTGGTTTTTTTGGGTCACGTATAGACGAGACACAGGAGTGTTCATGTGCACAGTTGGCGTGCAACTCATCGTTTGCATATCTCGTGTTAGCTTTTGAGTCATAAACGCCCCCTTTTTATGTCAATTATATTTGGAGCTGTCATGGGAAAAAAAAAACAACTTTGATTTACCGCACGGGAAGTCTTCAAAGGAGCATTTTGACATTCTTGACGGTCACACAAGTGTGAGCAGATGTTTAAGATGAATACGTCGCAGTCAGTGTTGTCAACGTCGGAGAATAAAGTCATGCAATCATAATGATAAACTTTTATGATGAAGCAATTGTCGTTTTTACATGGCTAGATTTGGATTCAGAGAATAAATGTCATCTGAGGAGGGGTAAAAAAAAATGGTAGCTTTGCAAATAAGTGCTAATATCGGTCGGTTAAAGTAGTAATATGGTGACAGTAGATTGGCAATGTTAGGAAGGAAAAAAATTGTCGTTTTGCCAGAGTAACATTGTGATTTTATGTGGACAATTGTTTTTTAAATTGGGCATTTTGTCAGAGTCGGTTTCTCATATTACAAGCATAACATTGTTATTTTACGGACTACATTTCTGACATTCCAGTCTGATATTTTTAATATTGCCAGAATATAATTTTCAATGTTATGGGAAAAACAAATCCTTTCATCTTGCAGTTTTGCACTTAAGACGTTGGTGATTGACAGCTTGGCGAACCATCAAAGGCAAATTCATGCGTTATGTGCCGAAACCCGCAATCGAACCAAATGACTTTTCGATCCCCCCCGCCCCCGACAACTACGACGCCGAGCCTGCGTCTTTGACATTAGCAACTTCCTGTCCAGACACAATGAGCATTTTTTTTTTCTCCCTGGAGTTGCCGTTTACGATTTTGTCTTTGACTTGATGTGTAATCACCCGCCCAACGCCGACGGCCATAAAATGTCGGCGGGTTCACGGCCCGGCGCGTCTCCCGCTTGTGGGTTTTGCTTTCGCTTTGAAGCGGGCAGGAAGGAATGCCGCTCATCCGCGGGTGGCGAACATCTTTCAAAAGTTTGGGATGGATACCCGTCCCAGAAGACCACAAAAGACACAGAACGCGGCCTATAAACACGTGCGTTGGTCGCCGCCAAAACCGTAGCGGCGGGGTCGTGAACCGGCGGAATTGACTTGTTTTCCTCTCCGTCATCATTTGGGGGGGGGTGGCATTCATTTATCAAATCGGGCCAAGTCTTTCCCGAAAAGCCGGAGCCTGGTGCCAAAAGATAGTTGCACAAAGGACACCTGATCAGCCTTCATCACGCACCAAAACTGCTGACTCATCTCCAGGTTGTTTGGGTTCGCTTCTGTCCGGAAAAAAAAAAAAAATGGGGTGAACGGGTTTAGCTGGGAGTCTGACTCACCCTTTGGAAGCGGCCGGCGTCTGCACGTCCAGCTTCGCTTGTCATTCCGTCGAGGGCGGCCAGCCAGCCGGTTGGGAACGCTGCAACTGGCTCCCTTGATTGGTTGGATGTCGTCCAATGAGAAAAGGGCAATGTCTTCCTGCCGGGGACGAGTTCCTTTCAACGGCAGGTGGCAGAGGATCGTTGAGGGGATAAACGACTCTTACTCTTT